TGGAGTGCTCTGATGGATAAAGGCTATTTAGGAAAGACAAGCTGGGATGACGAGGAAGGGGAGTTGTCCTTTACATGAGAGAGCAGCAGGGATGAGGCCTTCTTCAAACAATTGGAAGAAGTCTCACATATGCAGGCCCTGATCCTTACAGGGGACTTGAACCACCCCGATATCTGCTGGAGGGAAAACAAAGCAGGGCAAAAGCAATCCAGCAGGTTTCTGGTGTTCATTGATGACAGCTTCCTAACACAGATGATCAAGGAGCCAACGAGGGGACATGATTTGCTGTACCTTATGCTTACAAACAAGGAGGAACCAGTCGGGGATTAGAGGGCTGGGGCCAGCCTGGGCTGCAGTGACCATGGGATTGGTGGAGTTCAGGATCCTAAGAGGAAGGAACAAGGCAAATAGCAGGATCACAACCCTGGACTTTGGGAGAGCAGATTTGGGCCTGTTCAGGGACCTGCTTGGAAGAATCCCATGGGATACAGTCCTGGAGGGAACAGGGGTCCAGGAGAGCTGGTGAATTTTCAAGGATCACCTCTTCCAAGCTCAAGAATGGTTCATCGTAACAAGCAGAAAATGAAGCAAAGGCAGCAAGAGGCCTCCATGGATGAACAAGGAGCTCCTGACAAGGAGCTCAGACATAAAAAGGAAGTGTAAAAGTGGTGGAAGCAGGGATGGGTGACCCAGGAAGAATACAGAGACACTGTCTGAGCACCCAGGGATAGGAATAGGAAGGTCAAAGCCTACTTGGAGTTAAATCTGGCAAGGGTCATGAAGAGCAACAAGAAAGGATTCTAGAAGGATTTCAGCAGCAAAAGGAAGACTAGGTAAAATATGGTCCCACTGCCAAATGGGGCAGGGGTCCTGGTGACAAAGAACATGGAAAAGATTGAAGTTCCTGAGAACAGAAAGAAAGCAAATGCCACTCCTTTCTTCAAGCAGGGCAAGAAGGAGGATCCAGGGAACCACAGGCAGATTGGCTTCACCTTCATCCCTGGGAAGGTGATGGAACGCATAGCGCTGGAAACGATTTCCAGACACATGAAGGACAAGAAGGTGATTGGGAGTAGTCAGCATGGATTTGTGAAGGGGAAGTCATGCCTGACCAACCTGATAGCCTTCTCTGATGAGATGACTAGCTCAGTGGATGAGGGGAGATCAGTGAACTTTCCCCTCTAATCAGCATGGGTGAGCCCACACCTGGAGTGCTGCCTTAATGCTGGGCTCCCCAAGACAAGAAAGACATGGACATGCCAGAGTGAGTCCAGTGAAGAGTTATGAAGATGATTAAGGGATTGGATCTGACATAGGAGAGGATGAGAGAGCTGGGACTGTTTAGCCTGGAGAAGAAAAGGTCCAGGGAGGATCTGATCAATGTGTATAAATACCTGCCAGTGGGGTAAGTAAAAAGACGAAGGCAGACTCTTCTCAGTGGTGCTTGGTGACAGGACAAGAGGCAATGGGCACAAACTGAAATACAGGAAAATCCACTTAAACATAAGAAAAGCCTTTTTTTCCTCTAAGAGTTACCAAACACTATATCATGTCGCCCAGACAGGTTGTGGAGACTCCATCTTTGGAGATATTCAAATCCCCACTGGACATGGCCCTGAGCAACCTGCTGTAGCTGTGACATTGGCCCTACTGTGAGCTGACCTCAGGCTGGAGACCCTCAGGGGAGCTTCCAGTATTTGGCTTCCAGTTACTGTGATTTTGTGGTCCTTTCTTTTTTTCAGACAGACATCTGTTCAGACGGCTGTTCTCCTTCAGCCCCATAAGTTAACAAGCAATAGCAGAGTCTGTTTGGGGGAATGTCACAGAGGGTATAGTGTATCTCAAATAGATCACTAGCCCATTCCACCACCTACATTAGGGGGTTGAAAGTTTACTCTGCAACAGAAGAAGCTTCCTGCTGGGTCTGGTTGTAGCACTCCACAGTTGGGATCTGGTGGTGCCCAGAGGAAGTGAGGCTCCAGAGGCAGAGTGGGGAGATGAAGTGTCTTGTGAAGAGAGGGAAAAAAGAGGAAAGAGCATAAGGAAAAGAAAAACTACAGTAGAGGCCAGTATGCAAGATGACTGGTCCAGTTCAGGCCTGGCATCCATTTGTGGGACCTGTCTCTGCTGCCAACAGCTACATATGAGGTATACCTATAGGATAAGATACAGTTTGCCCAGACATGTTTACCAAGGGGGCAGGTACTGCCAGTGTTTCGGGCCTGAAGAAAGTGCTGAGGCTGGACTGACACCAAGTGGATACCAGGGAGTGATTAGGAAGGTCATGGTCTAGATGACTGCTGCAGATGACCACTACAGCCATAAGAGGGGCTTTTGGACCAAAGTATCTCCTGTCAATATTGGCTCACTCTCTCTCCTGTGGAATGAAGTTAACATAAAAAAAAAGCACATACTTGGGTTGGGTGGTGGGACGGTCCAGACTCTGGGGAAGAGTCTGAACTCTTCGTATAATCACACGTGAAGTCACCAAATCCCCAAGGTCACAGAGCCTCTGTCCTGGATGATGCCAGGTAGAATTCAAGACATTTGCTGAGACTTTGTGCCCAGATTGCTTACAATTTTGGTTGTGTAATCCTTCAAGGTATATGGTGATGGTGATCAGCCCAAGAGAGCTGATCATGCCTTGCTGTCATGTAAGGCTTCTGAAACACCACCCAGAAGGATGGTAGCTGAGTGGGAACCTCTTGGGTGGGAAACTCTTCTCTTCTCCAGGCTAAACAGGCCCAGCTCTCTCAGCCTTTCTTCAGAGAAGAGATGCTCCAATCCCCTGATCATCTTCATAGCCCTCCGCTGGAGTCTCTCTGCAGAGCTGCTTTCCAGCAGGTCAACCCCCAGCCTGTCCTGGTGCATGGGGTTATTCCTCCCCAGGTGCAGGACCCTGCACTTGCCTTTGTTGAACTTCAGGAGGTTCCTCTCGGCCCAGCTCTCCAGCCTGTAAAAGGCCCCTCTGAGTGACAGCACAGTCTTCTGGTGTGTCAGCCACTCCCCCCAGTTTAGTATCATCAGCAGACTTGCTGAGGGTGCACTCTGGGCCTTCATCCAGGTGATCGATGACTCCATTGAACAAGACTGGACCCAGGACTGACCCCTGGGGGACACCCCTAGCCACAGGCCTCCAACTTGACTCTGCGCCATTCACCACAACCCTCTGAGCTCGGCCATCCAGCCAGTTCTCAAGCCACCTCCCCGTCCACTC